TTTGTATGTGTGTCTGCTGTGTGTCCGTGGCTGCAGAGTGTGTACAGCTCGATCTTATTCTTCCTGCAGATTGACATTGAGTATAATATATTCATTATATGTGTAGTTCTGTAGCCATTTGCAGGTTAAACCCTCAATTTGTTCATTTCTCAAAGTAAACCAACATTATCTGCAGCATTTTAAATCCAGCTTTGTTCAAAGACAAATCTGACTTTACCATGACAATGAGTGGACAACATTGGATTTTATTAAGAGTAATTATCCAATAAGAAAATATGGAGTTTCACACTCACAGTGAGTCATTACTTCATATATTTTGAACAACAGTCTGTGTGATTGACTGTTTCTCTTCTTTCTTTTTACACATGAGTGTGTGTGTTTTCCTCATTGCTCTCCCCATTGCCCTATCATAGCAAATTCCAAAGCCGTGGCCGTGATGAATTAGTCTGAAACAAATTAGCAGTACTTACAGCTCAGACGGCTCCAGCATTGGGTTACAAATTAAAACAAAAGAAGCAGTATCTCCACATCAGTGATGTTCCCCATGAAATCCAATACGCTCTGCCTCCGTCTTCAGCGTGCGACACACTCAGAGGCTTCCTCCATTCACTCCTTCCTTCTCTTCTCACTGAAAAATAAACACATTTTTGTGTTGGCTTCATTCTTTTCTTCCTTCCTAATTTTTGGGTCCCAAAGCCCATACTGGGAACCACTTTTAATTTGAATAATATAAATGAAGATGATTTTATGTTTAGTGCATTTTAGCTCTTTAATAAAGTGTATCAATGTAGGAGTTGGGGAGGAAAATATTGTGCAAAGAAAATGCATGAAATGTGCCAATTTGTATGGAACACACTTCCTGTTGTGGGCTCTGAATGACTTCTAGAAAGCCAGGGATAGAGCCAATTGTTACTCACCTGGAGCGGCTGGTTTGAACTGATCAGCCTGTCTTTTAATACCACGGTGTTGACATCCCAAAGGAGTAATAACCATTGTAAACGTTGCTGAAACACAGCATAACATGGGGATAAGGATTTCATGACAAAGTGCTGATAAGCTCTTATGGATTTTAAAAAGCATTTTTGTTTTTGGTGTCAGGAAATATATATTGTTTTAGATATATGCTTACCCAAAATAAGTACATATATTTATATAGTTAGTCCCTAATGATTCGAATCATCAGGGACTAAATATATGAATATATGTACTTGTTTTGGGTAAGATAGCACTATGACTTTAAATTAGAACACATGAAAAGGTTATGTAGTTTAAACAGTTGAGCAGGATACACAATCCAGTGACCTTTGACCCTCAGACAGTCCCTGCTCTGTGCAGTGCTGGGGGAAGGCTGCCTCCTGATGGAGAGGGACAGTACTGCATCACACTGACTCAATGCTGTGCTTTGATAGAAAAAAGACATTCAGCATTGCATGGATAAAATACAAGTGTTTTATTCCCTTTTAAGATGTTGAATTAATTGTATTTCATATAAGATATGAAAGGAGAAAAAGCGGAGCCATACCACACGTATCCCTGATAGAGATACGGTACAGTACGCTGAGTGTGTCACTTTGCTAGCCATTGCTTTTAATCAGCTAGTAAAATGACCTTTTCAGAGCCTAACAGCAGGACTGGTGCAGTTACAGTGAGAATGAACATACATACTGCCACAATGTCAATTCAGCATTGGCTTACGTACTGTAGTATGTTCCTGTGTACTTACACCAGTTTACTATACATTGCTACTAAAGAGACTAATGGTCAGGTTGATACGATGATTGTTGAGAACAATGAGGCATTTTAAAGTTGACATTCTACACAATTTTGCAGTAAAATCTATGTGTATGTTTCATGTATTCCCTCTGTCTCATGCCTCCACACACACACACACACACACACACACACACACACACACACACACACACACACACACACAGGCTGTTCCTCTCTTTCCGGTGTGTTCCGTGGATCTTATTATGGCAGCGGTCTGAATAGCCCCTTCCGACCTCATCAGATCTTCTTCCTCTTCCTTTTCTTCTCTCACTCTCTCCCGGGGTCTCTTTCCCTCTTTTATTCCTATTCTCCTCTTTCTTCTTTCTTCTCCTTTATTTTTCCATGCAGCTTTGTTCAGCCCCTGCTCCCTTTATTTCCTCATTTCCTTCTTGGGTAGGGATCATCGTGTGCTCCCTGGCATCCTCTTGTTTGCCACTGGAAACACATGAGACAGTATTGTGTGACTGTGTATTCCCAACTTACAGCAATTCATGCTTTACCGTTTGAATTGTGATTGTCTCGCCATGTGCATACTGTACAGCAGTGGCGAACCGTGTCTATCACAACTGGACCTTCTGTAGACACACGCACACACACACCCCCCCCTCCGCCGTTATAATGTCCGTCTTTTCACTGAATTGTCGTCTTGAAAAGGGTACTGAAACAATTCCGCAACAACATCATCTTCACCTGTTGCACTTGCTATTTCAACGTTAAAAACAATAAAAGGGCAAATGAATTGCTTCGTCGCATTCATCTAGATCCTCTGTCTCGAGCCAGTGAACTAACGGGCCTTCTAGAGCAGTGGTTCTCAACTGGTGGGTCGCGAATGTTTCTTTTGTTTTTTTTTGGGAAATAAGTCAAACTTTTCTTTTGAAGGCCCGATTTTCTAACGCTGTGGCTGTAGGCTTTGGACTGGAAGTACCAGAGACCATAAACGGTTTTGAAAACTTCTGTCACGGAGTGATCATCTTCTCAATAAAACATCTTTGCTGATGTCTTTTTGAGTCTTCTGGCCAATCAGAATCAAGATTGTTGCCGGAAGTCCCCACGGAGAATAACTTTGCGGTAGAAGTATTCTTTATACATCCATGGGTACAACTTCAGATAAAAATGAACACATAATGAAACCCGGTTTGATGATTGACAGGTCACAGAACAATGGGGGCTATCTACCCTTACCCACAATTGAAAGTAATTCACACAGACTCTCTCCTCTTTGCTCTTCTCTCTGTGTGGAGCAGCAAGTTCAGCTTCAGAACAAAGTGAAACACAAACAATGGCATCAAATATTATTAATATGTCGGGTAGTAATACATTTATTTATTTTCTTCTCAGAGTGTACCAGAATGCGTAGTTTATATGTTAGTATGTATAAAAATCTCCTGTGGGAGAATCCCCCCAGACCCCCTTCTGGGGTTGGGTTTTCAGCATGTGTGCCTTTTTATGTTATACAGTCCAGCTTTGATTCCATCATCTCATTAAACCTCTTTTAAAAGCATACTTTAGTTCTGTGAAGGGATATAAGGGATATAAGGGATATATGCACTGTACTTCACTTTCATTAATATTGTATGCTGAAAAGCGTATAGATTACAGCACCATTTTTTGTTGAATAGATTTGAGTGGTTCAAAATGTTGGATCGCGATTTATTGACAAAGGAAAAAGTGGGTCCCGAGGCCTGACCAGTTGAGAACCACTGATCTAGAGTACCCTGGCACCAAGGGGAACTCTGAAAGAATACGCCCATTGGCTACAAATCAATATATGATTGGTTGATCAAACTGTCAATCCAAACGTACGCTCTCAGGCACAAAATACACCAAAAGCAGCGAAGAAGACCCCCCGAGCATGGTTGCCATGGTTGCCTGGTTGCCCTTCTGTTTATGCCCCGCGGTGGATTTAGCAACATGTAGTTCATGTAATTCTCCATGTCCACTTGTTGCTGATGGTTGTGGTAGAGGAGCTGTAGATTTTGCACTAACATCTGTAGCATGGTCAGTAGCAGAGAGTAGCTACTGACCATGCTACAGCAGTGAGCAGGAGAGGTTGGGAGAGGCGGGGCTATGGCGTCATTGTTATCAGGAAATGATCGTATAGGACGTACACACGGAGCCGTTAGGCCCCCCAGAGCGTTTCGTCCGCAGATCTACCCACCTTGGGACCCGTTACCGTTTGAGGGCTCCGTTTCCGCGGTTCCGTTACGGCCTCGTGTGAACGAACCGTCCATACGATAGAGAACTGTAGCAGATACAACCTGTTTCGTCTCCGTGTAAACGTGGCCTCATTCAGTGTAACGGCCAGGGCATTCTATCCAGGATATAGAATACCTTGGTTGAAGGATATTCTACCCAGAGACCCAGAAAGATTGGTTGCATTTTTTTTCTAACACAAAACCACTGAAATGCGTAGTGCATGGATCAAGAAGGACAAATAAATCAACGTAACACTGTAATATTACAGATCAACAACACAGATACCATTCTCATTTATTCATTTTATTTATATAATTAAATCGATTTGTTTGTTTGTTTTATCTGAGTGTTCCAGGGTATTCTCTGAATACCCTGGAGGCCCTGACGGTTCACCACTGCTGTGCAGTTAAAGAGGAGAATGGACACTTGAAAGTGACAATGGCAGTGACAATCATTTATTGGATTTGATATGTTTTGAGGGAGGGAAGAGAGAAACATGTGGACCAATGGAAACTAAACATTTCCAGCTGTGGTAGCATATCACGTTATGCACTGTATTGCTAATCCCTTGAAAACTTTCATCATTCTGATTATGTAATGTTTGTATTATCATAAAAGACTCATCAACAGTTAACTGTGAGGAAGAATATCATTTACTCAGGTTTGTTTGTTTTTAAAATCAAGAGATAGTGTAAAAAGACACATCGGCCAGAGTTTAAGGATGCATCTATAAATAGTTTTTGGTCTGACCAACAGTCCAAAATGCAGAGATACGAAGGAGAAGCTTGCTAGGAAAACATGAACCTTTTTTATTTCAATTAAATATAAATTAACTAATTGTTTTGGCACTAATAGTCACAAGCAACATTGTTGGTAAATTCATGTCAATCTTTGTAATAAAAAAAACCTCTTTGATTATTATATTTTCATTCTTAAACTAAGCAGGGGTCCTTCATTCTCACTGTGGGGGTGCGTCATTATATACACTGTGTGATGAGTCTAACCCATCCCTTCTGTGTGTGTGTTTCCAGAACTCTAGGTTTTCTCTGGTGTGTGAGGATCCAGACTGTTGGATGAGTCTGCTCCCTCTGACCTCTGACCTCTCATCTGCCAACTGCACCATCTACAGCCAACGTGAGTGTTCCAGTGTAGCAACAGCATGTCCACCTGATGTTTCCTGTTGACTGCCCAGTGTTCCCAGTGTGGAGCAGCTCCACCACACTGGCTCAAAGTCATTGTTCTAAACCATGTTTCCCCTTACATTGTACTGTTACTTCTCTATTAAGCATATTTAAGTAGAGCTGCACATTTTAGTCGACTATGCGATCCGTCAATTTACAGAAAAAAAGTCGACAACAATTTTGATAATCAATGTATTGATTGCAAGTAAGTATTTAAGCAATAATGGCAGAAAATGTTTTTGATCAGAATCTCAAATATGGAGATTTCCTGCTTTCTAAGTTTGATATCATATCCAAGTAAATCTCTTTACGCCAACATAAATGCTAGAAACCATTTATCAAATGTTTTATTACTCATTTTAAATGTCAAGTGAGTGGTTGAAGTAACATGTTAGCAGTTTCCTGAGTAGATGACCCTCATCACTAAGCAGCTATTGAACAGGCTTTCTGGCTTGAACAGGACAGGGACATTGACACACTGGGTGGTGGGTCAGTCCCAGGGCTTTGCTATTGTTGACTTCAATCAAATCAAATCAAATCAAATCAGGTTTTATTTATAAAGCACATTTAAAAGCAATTTTTGGTCGAGCCAAAGTGCTGTACATGTAATAAAAACACATTACTACAAAACACAATAAACGACAATAAATTACAACAGATATAACTTAAAAAAACAAAAACAAAATAAGAATAAAACACACGGAAAAGTCAGGAGTCGTGCTCCGCTCTAACTAGAAAGCCAGAGAGAAGAAGTGTGTTTTTAGTTTTGATTTAAAAACCCCTAGGGTCTGGGCCGACCTCACATGGAGGGGCAGAGTGTTCCAGAGCCTAGGGCCAGCTGCTGCGAAGGCTCGGTGCCCTCGGGTTTTAAGCCTGGTCTTGGGCACTACCAATGAGAGTACTTCCACCTTTTCTATGTTCCTACCACCACTAGTCAAAATGTTGTTACCTCCAGACAACACGACCCCCAAATGGAATACATTTAGTGTATATTAACTGGCATGAAAAAAAAAGATAATCTTTACTCTGTGTTTTTTTGTTAGCTTCCTGTGGTGACCTGAGCTTCTGTGTTTCAGGTGAAGAATTGTTCTGTAAGGTGACCAGGGAGCTTGCAGCTGGTGAAAGGCTCCTGGCGGCCCTGTCCCCACCTGTGGGCCCCTGCTCCTCCCCCCCCCAGGCCCAGCTCTCTCCTCCACTCAGCCTTGTCACCCAGAAGCCCCCTGTGGAGACGGAGGACTCTCTGTACCCCCCAGCGCTGCGCTCAGAGATCCAGCTCCTCCCACAGCAGGCTGGCATGGCCGCCATCTTGGCTACTGCCATTGTCAACAGTGAGTAATATATATAAATCAAAGTCTGTTTATTCGTTAGCAGTACAGCTATTTTTTTCAATAAAGTATATGTTATATCTACTATATACAGATACAACAACTAGCTTCTAATCTGGCTAGGGAAACTATCCATTAGAATAAGATAGTTTGGAATTTAAATAATTCAAACGATACAAAGTGGTATTAAGGTTTCTTTAAGAAAGATATATCCTTAAGAATATGTATTTAACATGTAGAGTAAATATGAGAGACTGTATGGCCTATAAGTATTACATGCAATACAGTTTCCCTTCTAGCCTTTATGCTATACTTGTTTTGTCTTGTCAGCCCAAAGACTTTTATCCAGGCACTGTTTTTGCGACAGCTGCGATATAAGTTGGTACCGGAAAGCCATCATGGCATAAATCTGTATTTCAGCATCTGTCTTCTGGCTGCAATGATCCCTTTGGCCACAAGAGGGTGATGCAGCTCTTCAGTATATGATAGATATATATATGATGATTATTGTCAATGCCCTTACTGTGTGTGTGTGTGGTGTGTGTGTGTGTGTGTGTGTGTGTGTGTGTGTGTGTGTGTGTGTGTGTGGTGTGTGTGTGTGTGTGTGTGTGTGTGTGTGTGTGTGTTTGTGTGTGTGTGTGTGTGTGTGTGTGTGTGTGGTGTGTGTGTGTGTGTGTGTGTGGTGTGTGTGTGTGTGTGTGTGTGTGTGTGTGTGTGTGTGTGTGTGTGTGGTGTGTGTGTGTGTGTGTGTGTGTGGTGTGTGTGTGTGTGTGTGTGTGTGTGTGTGTGTGTGTGTGTGTGTGTGTGTGTGTCCAACATGAGTGCTTGCTTCACCTATAAAAGCTGTAGATTGACCTTTGAAAATGGTTTCTGAGAGTTTTACAGGTAAAGGTACTTGAGTCACTAATTTGTGAAACATTTGAAGTCATCTAACTCTAAATGTATCTTCTATCAGAGGACATCTTCCCATGCAAGGACTGTGGGATCTGGTACCGCAGTGAGAGGAACCTGCAGGCCCACCTCATGTATTACTGTGCCAGCCGGCAGAAGCAGCCGGCTGCAGCCTCGTCCCCGCCACAGGACAAACCCAAGGAGTCCTACCCCAACGAGCGCATCTGCCCCTTCCCACAGTGCAACAAGAGCTGCCCCAGTGCCAGCTCACTTGAGATCCACATGCGCACACACAGTGGTGAGTGCCAGGCCTACTGTCTCTGCACGCCCAACAGACAGGTCCAAACATGGAGACCTAACCTGTAGATGCTTGACCAATGTGCCTTAATGTTTATCACATCGTGTGGAAGATTGGCTCATAATGTGTCCCTCTAAATAAGTGTCCCTCTGTCTTTTAACAGGTGAGCGTCCATTTGTCTGTCTCATCTGTCTGTCAGCCTTCACCACTAAAGCGAACTGTGAGCGCCACCTTAAGGTCCACACTGACACACTGAACGGGGTGTGTCATGGCTGTGGCTTTGTCTCCACAACAAGGGACATCCTTTACAGCCATCTGGTCACCAGCCACATGGTTTGCCAGCCGGGGTCTCACAGTGAGGTCTACTCCCCAGGTCCCGGCCTACCCAAGCTCCCCATGTCCACTGGTAAGACATACCATCAATGTGACTAAATGTGGCTACATTTCCAGATTGTGGATCAATATTGGCTTCATTGATATAACTGATGCTTTTCTAGATCCCTTCAAATGTATGCTACTGTTATAGTTTGCTGTTTTTTACTGTCTTCAGGTCTCAGTCCAGGAGACTCTGGCGTGGTGCTGAAGTGTCAAGTGTGTGGCCAGAACTCTGACTCACCTGCCCAGCTTCAGCAGCATGTGCGAACCCACCTAGAGGTTAGGGTCCCAGTCGAAAGGAGCCCCACCCCCTGCCAAAGCACCCCATCTTCAGTTGACAACCCCCACCTCCAGCAGTCTCCCCAGGACAGGGAGTCCCTGGCCTGTGTCCCTACGCCAGAATCGGTCAGCCCTGGTGCAAACGGAGGCTCCGCCACGCCTCGAGACTACAGTCCTATTGATGTAAAGATCAAAGAGGAGCCTCCTTCGGACTTAGAGACAGAAGAGCAGCAAATGGAGATTAGGGAGGCTGGAGAAGATGAGCAGCTGGGTGAAGAGGCAGGAGATCAAGAAGCAACAAGGAAGACAAACAAGAAGCAAACATCCTCCTTCCAGACATCCACCTCTCCAAAAAGTCTGGCCACTGCAACTGTAAAGGCAGAACCAACTAGTCCCACCCCTGGTTCTAGCCCCGCACATGTCAGTGGCACAGGGTCAGTTCTTCCCGGAGGAGCAATGTTCTTGCCTCAGTACATGTTTAATCCTGAGGCCGCCATCCTGCCTCAGGCCTCAGAGATACTGGCTAAAATGTCAGAGATGGTCCACAGCCGTCTGAAGCAGGGCCAGACAGTTCCTCAGAACAACCCGGCTGCATTCCTACCCTCTGGACCAACTGCGCCTACAGCCACAGCCACTCCTCCTCACAAAGGAGCCACCTGCTTTCAATGCGATATCACCTTCAACAACATCAACAACTTTTATGCACATAAGAGGCTGTACTGCTCCAGTAGGCATCATGGAGAAGGTGCAACCTCAGCTTCAGACCCTGGGACAACTCGAGATGCAGCACCAGCGACACTCCCTTCCAGTGGGGCCCATGGCACGTCAGCATCACCTCAGGGCGGAGCAGCAAGTAGGGCCGCCTCTGCTTCTCCCTCTGACTCTGACCCTCCTGCAGGCAGTGGAGCAACAGAATCCGGGAGGGTCGTGGAAGTGAAGACAGAAACCCCTGCAGGAAAGGAAGGACTATCATCCTCTTCTGAAGGGGAAGGTGGCGGTGGAAGTGTGGGAGGAGGTGGAGGAGGAAGAGCAAGCGAAGGCAGCCAGAGTCCAGCAAGTGGTTTTGTAGAAGAACAAGAAGACGATCCCAACAGAACCTTCTGCGGAGCCTGCAACATCCGCTTTAGTCGTCATGAGAACTACACCGTTCACAAGCGCTTCTACTGCGCCTCCCGCCATGACCCATCCAACCACCGGTCCCTACACATGGCCAAGGCAACAACCACAACGCCCTTCCTTCCCCAACCCATCAGGACACGCAAGAGAAAGAAGATGTATGAGATTCACATGGCCAGAACTGAAGCCTTAGCCAACGCTGCTGCTGCTGCCGCTGCGTCCGCGGCTGCCTCGGCTCCGTCTGCCTCTGTTCTGGGCTTGGCAGTGAAAGAGGAAGGTTCTCCCAGCGGGGCAGGCAGCTCCAGCCCTGAAGGAGATGGCCCGATTGACCTCAGCAAGAGGCCCCGTCTGAGAGAGGTTCCACCAAACAGCAGCAGCAGTGTTCTCCCCTCCCTGCCACTCACTGACTACCACAAGTGCACTGCCTGCAGTATCAGCTTCAACAGCATTGAGAACTACCTGGCTCATAAGACCTACTACTGCCCTGCCACCACCCTGCAGCCTCACACCCTGGAGCAGCTTCACAGGCTCAAGAGATCGGCCTCTACCTCTCCCAAAAGCAGGCCTCAGCAGGAGCGCCCAGAACTTCTGCACCCTATAGAGGCTAAAGCTCTGCCAGCTGAGTGGGTTGCCCTGGCTCAAGGCACATCGTCCAGTCCTCACCCCTCTGATGCCACGTCTCCTCTCCATACAGCCACCACACTGGCAGCCATCCCAGGAGCCGGAGCCAAAGGCCTCGGTGCCTCTCAGGTGGTCTGCCCCTACTGCCCTAACAGGCTCATCCCCTGTGACCTGATGGAGCACTTCAAGACTACCCACGGCATGCTAGTAAGCATTCAGCCCCCCCAGCCAGGTGGTGCAGTGAGCCGCAGCCCCAGCCTCAGTCCCAGGGATGGAGCTGCGACCACCTCCACCCTCCAGATCAGCCAGCCCAGACTGCGAGTCCACAGAGAGAGCCTCAATGGGCAGACAAGGAGTGGTTCAGCTTCACCGGCCTCCCCCCTGGCAAACGGCAGCCCTTCAGCTGGGGGGGGGTCACCTTTAGCTGGCTCCCCCCTGCCTGTTTCTCCCCAAAGGGCTCCCTCTCTGACTGTGACCCCTGTGCCTGAGGTCCTCAGGGAGACTGTGGGGGCTTCCCTCCTTCCAGACAAGGCTGTCCCGAACACAGCCTCCCATCCCGACCCCACCCCCCAGCCTGCCCTCATCTCCACCCCCCAAAACCACAGTGATCTCCCCTGTCCTGAACGGTAACTCCCGCTTCTGTCGGCTCTGCAACATCAAGTTCAGCAGCCTGTCCACGTTCATAGCTCATAAGAAATACTACTGCTCCTCCCACAGTGCTGAACATGTCAAGTGAGCGTCCTCGTCCCCTGACTGTCCTGCTCTGAGCCCAGGCTCTGCTTCAATAGGTTCAAAGAAGCCAGATGTCCCTTTTCCTCTGCCAGTCCTCCCCCATGGGTGCCAGAAAGGCGCTCAGCTGGCATGACCATGAATGACAATGAACGACTGTTACTCTTACCTGACAGGGCCTAATGCTCCGAGCAGAGTCACAGGTGTTGTTACTACCACACTGAAGTGAGGCTTCTGATGGGTCAATGTTTGGAGAACACTAAGAGCTCAGATGCTACCTGCACACACTGCTGTGCCCTCGTCCCATTGATCACTCTGTGTCTTTGTACCGCAGTCACCAATTCAACTCCTGCCACTCCCAGGCCTCACAGTTGTTGCATTATGGGATGTTTAAAACATGTATGTCACGTCCTCTCTCTGTCTCTCTGTTGAACTGTCAGTAATTAGGTTCTGACATTTGGAGGCATTTCTGACGATGACTGATAACCCGCTATGTTAATCTGGTTATGATACATCTCCAGACTTTTCCTGAGCTCTTAATGTTCCAGACTAACACAGAGGAATAATTTCTCTTGTGGAAAAAGACTTGATCACTGTTAATGTTTTTATTATCTGTGCATAATGTATGATGTCTGAAAACAAGAATTCTATTATACTATTGTTTCAACACTGGCTCTTTCTTCCTTACTAGAGAAGCTGAAGCGTTTTTAGCTGAAAAACACAAATGTATTATCACAATGTTACTAATTACTGAAGGATAATATTGCAAAATGGACAATTTTTGGTTTCTTTTCATATACACGTTTTTTTTCTCTTCAAAAAATTCAAGCAAGAAGAAGATGTGAAAAATATTTATCTTTTTAGTCCTCACTGATTTCATGTCAACAGAAAACTACCTACCTGGTGTCAGAGAGTACTTGTATTTTTATTTGTATATTTTTAATACTGTTGGAAGGATTTGGATGTGTTTTTCTAAGTGTAGATATGTAATATCTTCTCACAGTAATCACTGGGATCACACTGAACTTTGTTATCACGTTAGCCTTTGGTGTTCTGGTTATTTAGAACCCCCCCCCCTACGTTTTGGTGAGAATAAAGTAGGCTCCCTAAACTAAATTCATATTTTCAATCAAAGTCTCTTTAGTGTCCAGCCTCAAGACCATGCTTTTGCTTTTTTACCACGCACAGCTTCACATTATTGTTGCACAACGCCTTTCCATACATATTCTGAGAAATACACAAAAGAGAAAATGTTTACCACACATAAACAATAATATGTTTTCTTTTTAAATTATTGTGGTTCTGTCCGGCAATGAAGGCATAGCAGGGAACATGTTGAGCACGTCTCACACTGTAGTCTATGCACGTACAGTAAGTGGTTCCCCCTGAGTGGGGCCCTTGGTGTGTGTTAGATCCTAAATGCCCTGTCAGTGGTGCACACAGTTTACGCCATGTTCCCAGTTGCAATACAGTGTTAGTTAGAACTGTGAAATGTTCATCTTTTTCAAATATTGATGCAAACTTACCAGTGTACAGTAAGGGCCATCATATGTTTTTAAAGTCCACATTTTGTTTTTATATATAAGTCGCCAAAATGCATCCAGATGCTGAATTAATTTGGTTTTCACTCCTGACAGAAATGGTTGGGAGAAATATTGTCATACCAGTTGTTGTTGTTTTTGTACACCAAGGGACACCAGAGCAAGCTGTAAACACAACAAAATTTCATATTAGAATCAAACAAGATTGTTGTGGCGAATGTGGCACTGTTAGTTTCTCATTAACTGAATGATGTTCGCCCCATCATCCCCTTTCCAACACTGGAAACCAAATGTAAATTGTTGGATGTTTTCATCACAGTCCGATTCTTGGTTCACTTCCTGCTCTGATGTGCTTTGAAGCAGCTCTGTATCAGACACATTGTTCTACTAAGTGTTTACAATATGCTGGTCCCTCTCAGTTCAAAAGGACATATACAAGCAGAAAGACAAGTCATGTCAGTTAGTCACAAATGAAATAAGTGAGTGCTTGAAAATCATCCTGCACTTGCACTGTGTTGTGTTGTATAAAATGTGCTGAATGTTTTAGTTTTAGGGACTTACTTACTTTTGTGATGTATTTATGTTATGAAGATCTCTGTCCGTCCAAAGTGCGTTACCTTGAAGGATTTTCTGAAAGATTTTGAACCCTTTTTTATCTAGTTGTAAAGACATGTTTTCTTATTGATTCCTCTGATCATAATGGAAAAAATCACAATGAAAGTCAAAACTTTTATTTCCATTTCATTTCAGTTTCATTACACTCTTGTTCAAACTATGCATGGGAAATAAAAAAAGTTCTGAGAGACAGTGATGGAGAGAATGACTGAACTTCTTTCTAGTGGTTTCCATGGTTTCGGTGAGCTGCTCTTCCAGCTGCTCTCATCCTGTGCTTGAGAAGGAGTCCTTGACTTTTGCAGGTGAATAAATGTTGCTTATGTGTAGTCACTCGTTTTCACTGTTTAAAACTTGCTCTTGAATAAAGGCTGAGTGAATCATCAGCTTTCCTTTCAAATCATGTGCATGAGCACCCCTAAGAAGAAGAGTGGGCCAATCAGCTTCAAGGCTGTCTCCATCCCAGGCAGAGTGCACCCATAGAAACACTGGTGCCTCAAACGCAGATCAAATGAAGCACACTGAATTTCTCGCCCTATGTTTATTCTCCAATTGTAAGCCGTCTCTCTGTGGTCAGTCACTGTGAACCCGTCTGTCGCCGTGGTTTGGGTTGGCCTGCCTTACTTGTTTATTTGAGACAGTGCACATTAATCAATAATCACGTTACAAAAACACAATAAGTTATATAATTTAATGAGGTATATTTGAACAGATAAACAGTTTCATTCAACACAATATATATTATTTACATTTGAAATAGCTTTGGCCCCTAAGGAAGAACAATAAGTCAATTCAACTTCAAACATCCAATCAGGATGTCCCCTCAGTGTTCCCTGACAGGAGGATACTGTGGGAACTTAGATTTTTCTTTTCCAGCCAGCAGTAGTGACCCTTGACTTCATTGAACCACTACGATGCTAATAAGGTCTACGTAAATATTGAACTCAATTGCACCAGGAAAACTGGGAGGACCCCACCATCTATTCATCCATTAGTGTTTTGGGCCCTCTACTCACAAATGCACGAGAATCAATAGTGCCCCATGCATGAGTTGATGTAGGAAGAATAAATGAATAATTGCAACCTTGGGACCTGTTCCGTCTTTAACACGGACACATTTACATTTCTATTTGTAGAGTGCTTTACAGATACACGTCAAAAATCGATGAATAACATTTGATTACAGTTTTTCTCGATTGCTAACACACTAAAATGATACATAAAGCACAATTATTTTAACTGACACTCAAAGAGCAAAACATCGGCTCAAATCTCCAAAACTCTAAACACATTTTCAGCTTTTCACACAATTTGCAAATCAACATGGCACTTTTTGCAAACCACTGCACACGTTTCTCCACGTGAGACACAGGAACCTGACATGAAGTCACGTGTTAGCTGGTTTAAAACACTGATATTCAAAATGCCTCACACATGGACCAATGATCAAGAAACACGTTCCACCTGACCAAACACCTGATAGCATCATTGTTGGCTCATCAATCAGGATGTTAGCACTATAAAAAGACCACAGGTGAGTACTTTCTTACAGCAACAATGGAAGCCAACATGGAAGCATGAGCAAGAGGAAGAGGAAGAGGAAGAGCTGGGCTGAGAGTGAGAGGAGGAGGAAGAGGTGGGGTGAGAGTGAGAGGAGGAAGAATGAGAGGTAGAGGTAGAGCTGGAGGGAGAGGACGTGGACAAAGAAGAATACTCTCTAATGAAATGAAACGTTATCTTATCAGCCATGGTTTGACGATGAGAGGCTGGACAGAGGGTTCAGCCTAATCTAAGCCGATGTACTGTTGCCTCTGTAATCCGGACACTTAGACTAAACAGGTTAGTTACCAGTTTGTAGCTCTGCATAATTCATGATATATCAGTGCTTATATCTGTTGTGTGAAACGTATTTACTTCATTACTGTAATTGAATTGTTGGCATGTTGCATACTATAACTGTACAAAGCTCCTGCACAATGTACTGTGGTAGACTGACTGATATGCAACACACACACTGACCAACCACTATGTCTTTGTTGTTTATCTGAAGGACTGAGAAACAAAGAGGTGCAGGTGGAAGGCTAAGGATGTTCAATGAGGCACAGGAAGCAGCAGTTACAAACTTGGTTTTGGCAAACAATGCATCACACTTAGAGAGATCCGAAGCCACATCATAAGGAACAACACCATTTTCAACAACATCAGGCAAGTCAGCCTGTCCACATTGGCCTGTGTTCTCCAGCGTAACCAGGTTCAGATGAAGCAGCTGTACAGGGTGCCCTTTGAGAGAAATGCTGAAAGGGTCAGTGGCGGTTCTAGACCAATTTGACTGGGGGGGCCAGGCTGGAGCCAGTTCTTTTCTGAGGGGGGCACAATAAATGCAGAACGAAAAAGACTAAGACAGTATGAAGTAATTGCGCATAAGAAAACAATGCAATACAGTTATTGGTATTTGTTTCAGTACACATATTTATTTCAGATACTAATAGTTACAGTTGTTACGCTCTAATGCAGGGGTCTCCAACCTTTTTTAGGATGAGAGCTACTTTCAAAAATAAAACAAGTCTTGAGCTACTTTTACTCCTCTTTTTATTGTTTTTTGCAGTGTATATATTTAGCACATTTTAACATTATTATATGCTGACTTTTAACCTTTGTGTGCTGTTTGGGTCTGTGGGACCCTTTTTCAGTGTTTACTCAAAGAACATGTATGCAATTTAATTATTTTAACCTGCTTTATTTGGGGGTGGACCTCACATCCTCTAGGGGGGTCCTCACCTCCTCTAGGGGTGGTCCTCACCTCCTCTAGGGGGTGGACCTCACATCCTCTAGGGGGGTCCGGGGGCATGCACCCCCGGGAAGATTTGTTTTTAAATGTTAAGTGAAATGCATCAATCTGGAGCACTTTGAGCACAACATGAATTGATGGATACAGTTCTATTTCATACTTACTGACCGCCAGAGGCGGTGCTTTAGCACTGGATATCTTCTGTCTCGCGCATGCGTAGGTCGAATATTTATATCAACAAAGTCACGTGTGACCCCGTATGACACCGGAAGGTATAAGTTCCGGTGCTGTCAACGGGCTCAGTCCTTTTTCATCTTCTCGCTGCGTAGGTTACTACTTATGAGTAGAAGCCAAGCTAAGCTTACTGAAAATTGGGATTCTAGCTCATCGCTACCTGTAGCCTTGCGATCGTTTGATCGGAGCTGCGGGCTAGGAAAAACGCTCGCCCTCCAAAGGCTGCGACGAGCTGTCCGTCCTCCCAAGGGAGAGGACCGCGGTGTTCACCGCCCGGACCCCAGGAGCTCCGGACCGGTAAAGAGCGGACGCTCCTGCACACAGCCGGTGAGATCGCTACCAATTATTGCTGATTGTGCTATACTCTCAAACTAATGAGATAATTGTGTACAAATTAACCGAGGGCTCTCGCTAATTTGTTACTGTTACCTGTACTATCATCCAGTTAGCTGAGTGCTCCCGCTGAAAGCTAACTTTCTACTACGCTAGTGAAGAGAGCGTCTCCGCCCTCCTCCTCACTACATACTTTTGGTTCTTTACCTGTACTATCATCCAGTTAGCTGAGTGCTCCCGGTGAAAGCTAACTTTCTACTGTACTAGTGAAGGGAGCGTCTCCGCCCTCCTCACTACATACTTTTGGTTCTTTACCTGTACTATCATCCAGTTAGCTGAGTGCTCCCGGTGAAAGCTAACTTTCTACTGTACTAGTGAAGGGAGCGTCTCCGCCCTCCTCCTCACTACATACTTTTGGTTCTTTACCTGTACTATCATCCAGTTAGCTGAGTGCTCCCGCTGAAAGCTAACTTTCTACTGCACTAGTGAAGGGAGCGTCTCCGCCCCCCCCTTTCACTGCATACATTGGTTCCTTGCCTGTTCTATCGTCCAGTTAGCTGAATGTTTTCGTTCAAGCTAACTGTTACGGCGTTAGTGAAGGGAGCGTCTCCGCCCCCCCCTCTCACTACATACAATTGTTTCTTTACCTGTTCTATCGTCCAGTTAAGCTGAGTGTTTTCGTTCAAGTTAACTGTTACGGCGCGAGTGAAGGGAGCGTCTCCGCCCCCCTCTCAGCGCATACATTGTTTCTTTACCTGTTCTATCGTCCAGTTAAGCTGAGTGGTTTCATTCAAGCTAACTGTTACGGTGCTAGTGAAGGGAGCGTCTCCGCCCCCCTCTCACAGCTCACAATTAGTTCCTGTTCTATCCTCCAGTTAGCTGAGTACTCTCGCTCAAAGCTAACTTGCTACAGTGCTAGTGAGGGAGTGTCTTCGCTCCCCTCTCACGGCGCACAATTGGTTATTTTATTTAATCGTTTATTTGACAGGGACAATGCACTGTAATGAACACTTAAAACATTTAAAGGTGTTAAGCGTAACAGTGCCAGATTTAGCTTTGAGCTATTTTCCATTCCCTCACATAAAACATTAAGGAAATTACTTTTTACAAACAGGGTAAAAAAGAAAAAAGGAAATATATATATATATATATATATATATACAGGATATGCAAAGAGTGGCAACGACACATAAAGTGTTCCATCCTCCAGTTAACTGAGTGCTCTCGCTCAAAGTTAACTTGCTACAGCGCTAGTGAAGAGAGTGTCTTCACTCCCCTCTCACAGCTCACAATTAATTCCTGTTCTATCCTCTAGTTAGCGGAGTGCTCTCGCTCAAAGCTAACTTGCTACAGCGCTAGTGAAGAGAGTGTCTTCACTCCCCTCTCACAGCTCACAATTAGTTCCTGTTCTATCCTCCAGTTAGCTGAGTGCTCTCGCTCAAAGCTAACTTGCTATAGTGCTAGTGAAGAGAGTGTCTTCGCTCCCCTTTTCACTGCACACAGTTGGTTCCTGTTCCATCCTCCAGTTAACTGAGTGCTCTCGCTCAAAGCTAACTTGCTACAGCGCTAGTGAAGAGAGTGAATCCGCTCCCCTCTCCCTGCACACAGTTGGATGCCCGTTCCATCCTCCAGTTAGCAGAGTGCTCTCGCTTAGGCTAACTCGCTACGGCGCTAGTGGAGAGAGTATTCCGCTCTCCTCTCACGGCATAAACCCATTAACTGACTTCATTTTTTCTCACTCCAGTTAGCAGAGTGCTCACGCTCAAGCTAACTACTATTGTGCTCACTCCCCTCCACGGCATATTTGTTTCCTGGCCAGTTATTTACAGGCAGCTGAGTGCTCT